AAATTAATTTTTTATTAAATAAACTAAATTTTTAATTTTATAAAGTTATTTAATATAGCAAATTATATATAATTTAAAATTTTTATAATTTTTTAAAAAATTTTAAATTTTTTATAATTTTTTAAAATAGAAGTTAAAATATTAATTTAAATTAATAATTTTCAAAAGTAGTAATTTTAATTACTATATATAGAAATTTTATAAATATTTTTTTTAAAATTTTAAAATTTTTAAATAAATATATAATTTGTTATATTAAATAATATTATTTAAAAAAAATTAATTTATTTAATAAAAAAAATTAAGTTTATATATTACTATATTTAGTAATTCTAGTTATTATATAAGCTATATTAAAATTACTAATTTTGTACTAGTATAACATTATACAACTTTGTGTTATCTTAATTATTTTAAAAACTATTGCATAGAATTTTATAATTTTTTATTATTTTTTTTTTTTTAAGCGATCCTGCCTTTATTTCTCAAGGTATTAAGACTACTAACTTACAATATATAATTAATATCTATCTATTACCTAACTAAATAAAGACTCACTCGATACTAAAGTACCCAGGTGTGACCTGCTATAACAACTATTAGTCTCTCTCAGGATTCTTAACTCACTAAGAATTTGTGACATTTGTTTTATTCACAGACTCTTCGGCATAATATATTACTTAAATAAATTCCTCTTCAGTTAGGTATTCGTTGCACGTGGAATTTATTTCTTTTGATTAATTCCAGCTATCAAAAATAAAATGTTAAAATTTACATAAACCATGGTCAAATGTCGAACAAATTTTTTAGTTTCATTTCCATTCAAGGATTCATCTATTTTTACGAGTTAGAAGGTTAAATTTTGGAAATAAAATTGCAAGGCTGACTTGATAAGCTATATATTTATATAATATTAATCACGTACCAGTAAGAATCTTATATATTATCATTAAACTTGTAACTTTTTTTTTTTTTTTTACATATGGTACTTATTTACACTAGAATCATTCTATTTGCGAATTAGTATAGATATATTAAATTTTCAGTTATAAACGGGTAAAAAAATCCAATAACTTGGCTTATATGAATTCTTTAAGCCAAAGTAAAACTGTATATTTATGAAAAGTCCAAAGTTTATTTCATGATTGTATTGTTTTAAAATTATAATAATAGGCAAAAAAATTTTAGCAATCCTAAATAATTCTGTTTTTTTTTTAAATAATTTATTCTATTAGAAAAATGAATAGCTAGAATCTAATTAAAAATTTTAATTCAAAATAATTAATACTAAGCTTAATTGTTTATGATAAATGAAAAATGCTGTGAATCCAATTATATTAAGATAATACAAAAGTATATAAAGACTTTGTTTATTAAAAATAGTTAATTGATAATCCGGATAAGATCGGCAGAATTACTATATTGGGGGGACGTCTAAAGCGGAGGCAAATCATGTGATCAACAGCCAATCAAATTATAGAATTTTGATGATCTCCGGCGAAGCAAAACAAGAAATAAAAACAAAAACCTGAAAAATACAAAAAACGGCAGTCTAAACCTACCTCGGGTATATTAATCAAAAATGTCGGGAAGGCAATTTTGCTTATATAACTACCAAAATCCTAATCTAACTCTAATATAGGCTGCACCAACCCTAAAGTTAATCGAAAAAATTATTAAATATGAGTTGCCTCCGCTTTAGACATCCCAATATAGAAATTGTGCCGATCTTATCCGGATCAGTAATTAAACAAATAATTGCATAAATATAAACTCAATAACATTTGAATGAAAGTATATCCGTAATAAGTACTAAATAATTTCTATATCTATTTATTAAGCTAGAAAAACAGATGTTTATCTATTATGGTGCAGGTAATAAAGCCACAGTTGTTACCAAACACCAGGCTCCTTCAATAAGCCGTCGTTTTGCAATTTTTGGCTTTCCTTTAAGATAATAGACACCAGAAGATCCTATTTTATAATATACATTGATAGCTGGCACAAAACTGATAAATTTTTGTATATTATTTTCAATAGCTTCCGATGAACTAAGAATCTCTAGCTTAATACCTTTATAATTTAGGATTGAAAAGAACTCCAATAGACGGACTCGATTTTTTGCCCTTAGTTCATAATTGGTTTGTCTCACTTTCTCTCTCTCCTCTCTCTTTCTCTCTCTTTCTCTCTCTCTCTCTCTCTCTCTTCGAGAAGTATCATTATCATTATCATTACTCTCACACACACTCTCTCTTCGAGAAGCATCATCATCATCATCATCATCATCAGAAGGAAAATTGACTCCAATCGTAGGATAATTGCCAAAGTATTCTTTTATCGTTTCTCTGTTTTTCTTAACCCATTTTTGTTCACAATCAGTAATTATGATAACAAAGTTACTTTTTCCATCATCAAATGCCTCTTTAAAGTCATTAAACTTTTTAGAATCATCATCAATAAATTTGTCCTTCTTTTTAACATAGCATATGTAATTAAATAATATATTGGGTACTGAAAAGTAATTTCTAATAATTTTGACAGCTTCACTATGTTCAGTAGTCCCAAATTTTCCTTCTCCTAACCCTATTGTATCGATTACTCCAAAATCTTTATTACTGAAATAAGTAATACTATCGGTTACTCCCTTTGCAGAATCGTTAATCTGAAAAACATTGTTACCAGAAAGATCACCATTGATTAGTATGTTAGCAAGAGTTGATTTTCCACTTCCAGAACGTCCCAAAAAAGCTACATTTGTTCTTTCTTCCATTATATGTCAAATTAACAATTTGAATATGTTGATTGGTTTTAGCGTTAGGATACTAATTATTTGGAGCAAAATTTAAAAAATTGTATAAATGTTATATAGCATACACGATTAGTTTATATAGTGGGATCTCTTATAGTGATTTAGAGCAGGTGTCACCTATACTGCAAGAGATTCCCTTAACTTCCTAACTCGGAAACTTTATTTTTTTTGTGTGAGAAGTTTGTGAGCAACGGAATATATTCTCCATTGAGAGACCGTCCCAAATATGGAATTAATTATCTGAGTCACCTGTACGTTACACAATTGATAAACAATTTTTTTATACGTTTATAATACTTTTTTTTACAAAACTCAAAACTTTCGGGTAGCTTAACTTTTTAAAAATACAAGAAATTATAACGGATAAATTAATACTTTCACTTCACTTTGTAACATATCTGCTTAATCCATTTTAATCCACCAACTTTTTTCTTGCAATCTGATTGGCCAATTTGCTAAAATTCATTATATAATTGGTTGACAATCATGTGTAACTATACCCG